AGGGTGTTCTACTCTTGAAAGTGACGCATATGTTGCATTAAAGTTTATGTCAATGGACAGTTTGAGATGATGCCTTGCCCAATTTTCTGGCCATATCGATAATCAGTGGTTTCTCCATTGGCAAAATAGCTCCGCGCTCACATGAGATACAAGTGGACTTTAAAAGCTTGAGCAAGTTGCATCAATTACAGCCAAAATAATGTAACAAACTTAGAAATGCAGGCAGAGGCAGGCTAGTTAGTAGTAGCTGGTTACAGGAAGTGTCTCTCAGAATAGCGGAATAAAATGAGTGGCTGAACGGGAAAAGTAGGGCTGCCTTCAATTTGCAAGGCCATCTTTAAGCTGATTTGCACTGGAATTTGACGCTTTAATGTGACAACATAGCCTTCATGTCCCGTTGACTACCGACATGCGAGCATATTGCCACGAAATGCTTGAAAGAACATTTTAACATGAACTTACGTGACATTAAACCAATTCTGTGACAGATCCACCATGTAAAGCGGCTTGTTTATACAGCACGTCTCGGTGGCAAGACATCACTAGGCCATGGAAAATGGCAGAGAAGCGATAAATCCCCAGTTAATGCGAATGCGATATTAATAGTTGGAGAGGCAGAATTCGATATCCGACATGGGCAGGCTGGTGGTTGGAGCAGATTTCCAAGTACTCAAAATAATGCCGTTTTATGGATATATCATTGATAGGTTAGACTAAATCCGGACTATGCAAAGTATCCCACAACTAGAACGTACGAGAAGTAAAGTAGACACCTATTTAGAATTTGTTGTCATATATAAGGCAGTATGGTCCCTGCGATTGAATTTTGCCTAGTTTAATGTCACTGTCTTCGCAAAATATATGAGTGCGCCTCAAAGTGTGAATACCCTGGAATTACTCCATTTGATCATCAACTTTAAGTTTACTTAGTGCCGAACTATGGAAGCCCCCTTGTGTGGTTCAATAGTCAAACCCGAAATTAAAGTAGGCCAAAATTGTCCACAAGTCAACCAAACAGAACCGTCTGTCAATGCAAAGTGCCATTTTTGGCAGCCTGTAGGTACAGACTTCTCAGTTAGGTGCTGAAACGAAAGCAAATTTATTTAAAGCAGACGAATATAGAAAATTGCCTTATCTTGATTGTATTGCATACACTGTAATTGTGGTGGCATTTCGTATCGACTCATGCCGAATCAGGAAGTTTTCCGAGTTACTGCACTTTACTTCCAACAAAAGGTGGTCCCAAGTAGAGGGTATTTGGGGACCAAAATGCCTTCCCATTCCGTGGTAATGGGTAAATGCCTTGTCCAAGTGCATGGGATGTACATCATTAGGGGTGGATTCGTATCCACGACGAACTTGGGGAACCGTACGATGCTCTCCAACGATGGACAAGTCGCTCAGCCTCTCAGCAACGGCACATCTGATTGAATGACGTGCTTATTTTAAAGACAACTGTCCGTACACCATACAGGGTAGTTTTCCATTCCCGGTCCAAAGCGTTGCATAAATTAATATTTAAAGCTGACCATTCATCACGTAGCGTAGAACGCCTGGTCCTGGGAGACCAATGAACGCACACTCAGCACGTTGTGTGTGCGGTTACGATGCACTGTTTTGCGAGGTCGAACATGTGTGACATTGAAGTACTGGTGAGGATTGAACAGTATGGTAGCTTTGAGCCCCATGGAGGGTATGAGGCAGGACACACTGGGGTGGTTCCATCACTGATGTCTGATGTGGACTAGGGATCCGCTAGGAGGAGAAGGTGAATTTGCCACCTTTCATTAACTGCACCTTCTGCCTTCTGTGCACTGCGAGGTACCGCTTTGAATTACACATACCCCGTGCAGTGTTAATTCCCCCTTGGGGCTATAAGCACATACACAGATCCGCAAAACTCCGTATGGAGGCCGACTCACGTGACTCGAAAATCAGTCAGCCAACCCCTTTCGGCTATATTTTCACGAAGCAGAGTAGTCAGTCATGTGCCTGCTGGCTTCTAAGCAATCATAGCGCTGTCCGACAAGCAGATATTCTTAGGTCATGTCTCTAGAAGGGAGGTTGAGCTGAGGATTTGCACAGCTTACAGCATTTCATCTCCTTCAATTTGAATGTTATTTTGAATGATAGTCAAGACATCCCTTGCTATGTTGGGTGCGGACTTTTAGGCCAGAGTTTTACCTCATCCTCTGTAAGTTTGGGAGAAAAATAGACTCAGGAACCAGTTTATAGGATCGATTAGGTCATTGGCACAGGAGAAGGTGGCAGAAAGGAAAAAGAAGGCAAGCCTAATTGGAGAATTGAGGTAAATATGAAGACAGGATTTGCAAATAACCCAATGCGGATTAGTACTAAGGCTAGAAGGGAAGCAAAATTCTACGCTTTTGGAGCAAATGACTCCCTTAGCAACCTCGTCTATTCAATTTAAATATATGAATAAATATCTTGCGATGAATTTAAAGGGGGATCGATGGGTGGATGAATGGATGAATAGGAGGGGGGTGGTTTAAAGCATGCAAGTATCTGCCACTCCCATCCACTGAAGTTGTTTTTAGCTCATGCAACATTATTCATCACCTTGATCCACGCCTAGGATTTGGACCTTTAGAAATAAGGAGCAAGTTCGTCAGCTAATCAAGCATCGTTTCTGATGCTAGCACCTGTCATCAGTGGTTAGTTCCAATAACCCTGGATCAAATTCCGACCTGCTATATGACATTTAGTAGAATAGTAGTAATGATAGCAAATCAGGAGACACCTATAATTAGTCCTTTCAGTTTACTGAATGTAGTGCTGTTGCGTTTCGGTTGGTTGGACATCTCCCATTGCTGCTACTATCATCTAGCAATAACAGATTCGGCAAAGGAATCCCTTTCACTCTCCTTGCTCTTCTTCCCGACCTCTTCCTACCCATCACCCTCCTCATCCTCCATTGTTGCAGTTGGCACAAATGGGTAGCTCGCCCTCTCTCCTTCTCCTCGTTGTTAACGGCTGTCATCGTCCTGGTAGTGCAGCTAATTTTACCCTAGTCAAAACATCGAATGAGCGAACATCGAGCTATTTTTTAGTTTAGTGATGGGCAGTATTGGTTCAGCAGTGCTGTTAGAAATGATGGCAATAAATTGGAATACATTCACAATTTGCGTGTTCCGATAAATGCAATGAAGGACTGCCATTATTCCACCGATGTCATTTATCCCACCAGTAAGTGTTCACCTAACCGTATCCAAAGTGGTGCAGCAATCCCCTTTCCTCCTTTCCTCCTGCTCCCAACCCTCCTACTGTTCCTCCCACCATTATCACCATCATTTTGTGCAGTCCAGTCAAATGATTGGTTTGCTTTGCCTGCTCTGCCCCGATGATGGCTGCTGCCGTCATCTTCGTAGTACTGCTTTTCATTGCTTACTTAGTCAATCAACAAAGAAAATGGATCTTTTAGGTAGAGTGGAAGGAGAAAAGGAGACAATGACATCTTCTGATCAGTCAGTTTCCCCACAGGCTATAGCGTCACTGACAGCTGAGTAAGTAAAATTGGGCGAAGTCGTGTTATGATACTTCAGCGAGCCGGACTCGACGTTGTGCGTCAATGTAGATCTACTTGCAAGATTTGTGTGGATTCTGAACTTACATGGATGCCCTTTTTAAATTCAGGCCATTTGCGGTCACATATTCAGCCCTCGAATAGGTCAAAGTTTGTTCGATCCCTGCACAGTGCAATAAAATGGACATCTGGCCTTAAAAGTTATCTGTATCTCTGGCAGAGCTCGTTGAACCACTAATCACATACAGCACTTTAAGGATTTCTCTATTGGTTACCGAGAGAGAGAGAGAGAGTTCAGCATCTGGCCCATAGGAAATAGCAACACTCCAAAATCCACTTTGACTAGTTGCATGTCGTGAGTAATGCCGTTAGCATTTTTACTTCATTTGAAGGTATTGTGCTCATCCATCTTCTACTTAACTCACATCCAAATGTGCTCAAGGCCTTCTTTATGTTTTTAGGTCTGGTCCAACGGTTGCGCTTGGTATTTCCAAGGGGGAAGTTGGATACAAGTGGGAGGGAATCGCATGCTCACTTCTCCTCCCTCTTGCCTAACTGACACAACTTTTCCCTCCCATCTCACCTAAGGATGTGCAGAATATCTGCCAACATGTTTACTTGCTCACTTGCAAACTTGAATCCTCTAGCCTACCCTTATTACTCAAATTACTGACCAAGTATGCATTGGGTCTTATTTGGG